AAGAGAATTTAAAGGCAGAGTTGAATGAGTTCAGCAAGAAGATATTTTCTTCAGCTTCTGGTTTCTAATTACACCAAGTTATAGCCCCGCCTTCTTAGTTGGTAAAAGTACAAGCATGAACTGGAAAAGAATGAGATAATCCATGGTAAAGCATGCTGAATAAAGATCTCCATTCAGATCTTTACCTTTTATCCTGAGTTCCTAATGCCAAGAATTAATGCTATCTGAAAATACACAATGAATGTGCCCTACTGTGGGCATCTGAGATAATCCTAATTACTTTAAGTGTTAGTGAGAAGGGTAGGCATTTGAGAAGGAGAAAATGGCTTTACAGTGAAATAGTATATCTGTGCTAAGAGGTACAGGCTGGACATGGTTTTGGTTCCAGTTCCTTAGGTGTGGTGTGTTTTTTGTATCAAAAGGCCACTCTGCTTGTTCTTGACACTTCTTGGAGCAGGGTAATTTCCATGGACATACATTTCTAGAATTGGACTGTTTCCCCCTGTGTTAGTGACATGCAAAGAAGAAAGGAAGTACGATTCCCATTTTACTTTGTTTTCTGCATTACAGAGATGTGAGGAGGGAGAGGACAAAGTTTTTTTAGATGAGCTCACAGAGAGTGGCAGAGAACTAAAAGATAGGTTCAATGAGTGTGTTCTGTGGTCAGAATCATAACTCACTGCAGCTTTAAAAATGTGACTGTGTTCAAAGGAAATCTTAAAAACACAGCTGATGAAAGTTGGCCTCAGTTTTCTGAAGGTTTTGCTGTGACCTAGCAGGAACACACCCAGCCACGGGCCCCTGACTGCTGGTACTTTTGACCTGCACAGACCAGAACACCAATGAGATGGGTCTCCTTGCACAGCTGATAAGTAAGATCTTCCTTTCTTCAACACTGGTTTCTTCATTCTAGAGTGAAACACTCAGTCCTCTATCTTTTCAAACAGTGCATGCATACTGCAAAGCCAGTTCAATGTGGATAGATCTGCTTTTTGACCTTTTGTCACTTAGCTCTGTGCAGAAAGAGATGAACATTTGCAGGGTTGGGCACTCCAAAGATGAGAGGTGGCAGAGTGGAGGTTGTTCGGGAGAGCTTGGCTTGGCCTTTCTGCATGTGTTTGCATTAGGATTTCACCAGGTCCATCTTGAGATGATGTACAGCAAAGTCAGGACAGAACCTAGCACTCCTGTTGGCACTTTCCTTCACAACAGGAAAATAATCTGTCTCACTTCTGTCTTCCTCTGTAGCTGAGCCAGCCTTCATTCTGTTGGTTCTCCGGTTCTGAGTGCTGTTTTTGCAGGAGTAGCTGTTTATTTATTTATTTATTTATTATTATTTTTTCCCGAATGCTTTGTCAGGCAGCTGCCAAGGGTGCTGTGCTAGTTGATGTAGCTTGTCAGGCTGTTTACTGGTGGTAGGTGGCAGAGTCAGCCCTGCAGGGTCAATCTGAGCCATGGGGTGATGGGGTACTACCCAACTAGGAGTAAACAAGGAAGTGTTTTCAAACAGATTTCCACCCACGGTATTTCCACACCGTCCCATCAGAACACTGCCAGTCAGCCCCACCGTGTCTGGTTGTTGCATGGAGAAGACTGGCACCAGTCCTCAAGGTGCTGGTAACCTGAGGAAAGTGCCCAGGATATTTTCTTACCTTGCACCCTTCACACAGCTGGCATGGCTTGCTTCTGGGTTTCACTGCCACTGGTCTCCCAGGCCTGGTGATTTTTTAAGAGACCTCTAATAGGATTTTCAGGGACTGGAGAGGAAGTCACTGCTTGCTTAAACTGCATCCGTTTCAAGTGATATATACAAAGGGAAAATGCCTTGGCTACAGAGGAGAAGACACCATGAAAAGCAGTTCCTGTCCACCCTCACACCAAAAACCTAGGCATGCTTTAATTGTGCTCCAGTGCCCTCAGGCCACCAGAAGCAGCCTGGCTCCATTCCCCGTGGCTGTCCTTGCAGGCTTATGTATGCACACGGGGAGAAGTACATGGTCCTTAGAAGCATGTGGGACTGGCATACTTATTTTCCTTTTCCTTGCAAAAGCGAGTGAAAGAGCTTTAAAAAATGAATTGTACCTCTCAACTTTAAATCTTTTAAAATTGCTTCTTACTGAGAGTTTAATAGTTTTTTAAATGTAAACTCAGGAAAATATTTACTTTTCAAGCATGAATATCCTTCCGCTTTCTCACATCATTGAAAGCGTATTATTCTTTTCAGTCCATTGAATTCCAGGGATCACTCACGTTAAAAGTCAATGCGGTTTCCAGTGTCAGAAGATGTAAGGTTTTGTGTTTATGGTTGGAATCCTTTCTCACTGCTTTTCCTATGTGTTAGTAGCTGATTTTTTTTCAGATTCATATGGCTTAAAAGTATTCAGGTGCTTTCCCAAGGGTAAAAGGTAATTAGATCAAGGAATGGTCTTTAAAAACTGCCACAGACTCAATTCTGGTACTGTTATTTACACAGATAAAGGCTGTGCAACAGCAGTGGGAGGATCAGCCACAAGCCTCAAACAGATGAAACTCATAGACCTAAATCAAAAAGAACATGGGTTTTGTTTCTTTGAACTCGGAACTTTTACATTTTACTGCCGTGTGATTAAAACACTGGAACAGAATTGCTCATTTCCTTTTTGCTGCCTTTTTATAGCTACAAGTCCCAAATCAAGTATCTTGCTCTTATTATCAGTTTTGCACCTACCCATTTCTCCTTGCTTGACTTCTGCATCTCCCATTGACTGCAGTGGAAGTGTATCCAAGTAAACAGTGCAGGTTGGGGTACAGGGGCAGGTCTCATTTGCTAGGGAAAATACCTCTGTAGTTCCAGGCTCATTTTAAAATCTGTGACACTCTACTTACATGCACCTGTGTACGTGCAGAGATTAACTTACACAGCCCAGGTTCTGTAACTCTGCAAAAATATGGCCAATTTGAAAGTCAGTGGAAGAATAGCCTGTGTTATTTGGATCAGTGCTTCAAGATCTCAGATGCCAGTTGGTGACTGGAACTGTTCCCATGTAAAGAAACCTTCCATTTGAGGTTTGACAATGTCTGATGCCCCATGAGAAGTGCTGGAGGACTGGTGGAGCTCTACTGGTCCAGAGAGCTTCAGACCCTCTGCCTGAGGTGCTGAGAAGTAGACGTGGGTGTTGGTTTACAGAGAAAGTTGACTTCTGTGTCACTCCCCACTCAATAATAAGTCAATAATAAGTTAACATAGAGCTGCTGGATAAACATAAAAATAAAGCTGCAGTTTTCTCTTACAGGGTTTTTAACATTTGGGCTATGTACCATGTTGGGTGGGTTTCTTGCTGGAGTCTTTAAACATGAAAGTAAACTTTCTGTAAGTTTGTCACAGAGATTTATAGATCTCAGTATTTAAAAATGGGCCTTTCCATCACTCCAGGCACTTGCACACTAGAAGTACTAACAAAACCTTTCAAATAAATAAGCTGTTTGCCCATTTGGCTACTCAGGAGTAAACAAAAAATTATCCCCTTTCAACCCCAATCGCTTCTTTCATACTTCTGTGCTGGAGCCTGGGAACAGGGAAACTCCTTACAGCATGTCCTAAATCTTAAGATGTTGGGCTTTGCTGGATCAGAGCAATGGGAAGAGGATTCAGAGTAGAGACCCAAGCCCTTCAGCCAGTCACTGGTGGCCAAGCCGTGATACTGTTTGTTTACTTTGTAATGCAAGGTACCTCCTGAGGAAAGAGATGATTCCTGATGCCAGATGTAGCCAGATCGAGCTGAAGCTTGTGTTGGTGACTGGCAAAAACTATTTCCCTGAGTGACCTTTGAGGAGGTAGTCTCTGGGATAGATACACCAGGAGAGGCGTTGGCTGCTGCATTTTCTGAAAGTGTTTTCCCCCTTGGTGTTTGGGTGCAGACCTGGGTCCACAGCATCCCTGCTCCATCCTTCTGTAGTTGTCAAAGCATGAACCACTGCGACAAACTAGTTGCCTGAAATAATAAATGATTTGTGCTTCAGGTCAAGGGAGCATGGTGCAGACTGAGCCACCCAGTGAATACCTTGTGGCTGTGTGAGCCTGTCCTACCCAGTGAGCTTGCTTCCTTCCAGAGGAACAGAAATGCCGCTCCATTCCTCCACTCCTTTCCCCTAGCCTACAGGTTTACATCTGGCTCATGTGATGGAGGCTTTCAGGTGGTAGTGTGGTCACAAGCAGCAGATCGCTAAGTGCATCCTCACCCAGACAGTGAGGAGGTTGAGCCTTCTTCTCCTTCTTGGACTCTGCCATCAACCCCAGTTACACACAGAAAAGGGAAGGGATGAGACAGAACTTCAGGAATCACCTCGTGTTCTCATGGCAGAGGAGGGCCTGGCTCTTCCACCTTGCGGGGCGTGCATCCGATCCTGCAGCACTTCTCGGGTTCAGGGTCGGTGGGCTAGAAAAGGTAGAAGTCTACAAGGTTGTTTCAGGCTGCCAGCTATCAAAGTGCTTCTGTAGCCTCTTTTCTTTGCACCTGCAAACCAGTGTCCTCCTCCAGCAGTCTGGCTCGGTATGTGAGACCTGCTTAGCTGTTACCTGTGCCGATGATGCGCGATGATGCTACAGACCCAGCTTCCTCGTTCTATGTCATTAGACTGTTAGCAGCATTTACAGGATGCCTAAAAGCTGTCCAAACAGTTACCTTTTCAGCCCTCATAACTAACCACTGCATTCTCTTCTTTTTTCTAGCTAGGAGAAAATGTAATCAAGAATTAATATGCTATTCATGGGATTAAATAATTATTTTATGTCAGATCTAAAAGACAATAGTAGAGTCTGCTTTGGGAAAGTGATAGGGGCTAGCTTGTTCCTCACATGTATCAAAGGAGTGACTTAAATCAAGGAGTCAGGTTCTACAAAGGCAAAAATGGGCAAAACTCCCCGAAAGTGACAGAAATTGCCATTTTATCTAGTCATGGGAAAAGTTGGTGAAAATAATAACATGAGATCTCAGCTGCATAAATGTCTCTTCCATTTCTAG